CGTCCGTTCAAATTGGACTCGTTAAAAAAGTTCGTACAATTCCGAGCGTACCCAGAAAATTTTTTTTTACCGATAAATTTTGTTACTTGGAACCCACTGGTAACCGGCCGGTTACCAGACCGATGTTTTGTATTTATTTTTGCAAATACGTCGGGTTGTTGTCCACGAGACTAAAGTAGTTGTCTAAGTACGGTTACGAAGTAACCTACGTATTATAATCTATATTAGAGATAAGTGAGGATTTTGTGATTTAGAATGAAGGTCGTACCTTATTTACAAGTATCTTGATGTAGTAACAAAAAATATGCGAAGACTTTAGATTTTTGTTTTGTGTAGCAAAAAAGATCTTGTCTAATGTTTAGCGGACTTTTACCATTTTTGTTTCACCGTTTGTACAACTGCTTTCTACAACGCGACCTTGAATCCGAGTAACGCCTCTACAAGGACTCTCACGCCTTTGAATTTCCACTGATAGTAGCGTTTTACGCGGAAAACATGTCAGAAAAATATGTACTTATACACAGCGGCCACAAAGGTCCCTTGAGTGGTTCACAGTCTTTTTGATCCCCGTTACTGTATTTTGTTTTGAAAATCCACAGCGGAGGTTTGTGTCGTACTACATGCGGTGTATTTTGCATTTCTTTCAGTAGCCAACGATCTGTGAGTCTGTTAGCTTGGATATAAACTCTGTAATAAATGCCTATTGATTTGGATATTTGGGGAGTTAGGTGGTCCGTGAGTGTTTTTTTATTGGTTATGAAAAAGTTTGAGAAACACTGATATAGGCTATAATGCTATTCATTTTACTTAAACTAATTTATGTTAATTGTGCAACATATGCAAGTTAGCAGTTTCTATGTGCTGGGGACACGTACTATACATTTCTACCATAAAACGTTGGGGTACTCAGCATTTCTGGGTTCACTATTCTGGCAACTAGACTATATTGTTATAGTTAAGAACACATAAACACTTTTGCAATAGGTGTTAAATTGTTAAAAATGCTGAATAAGCACCATAACTTTGATCATACGTGTTTGTCGTGATCAGTTGTTTCTGTGAACGGCCAAATGATGCTTCATTTTAAATGTTGCGGCTGCAAGGAATTGTGGGACGGCATTATCTTTTCTTTTGTGGAGGATGCTCCACTTTATTTTATGCTAAGAAAGGTACCAAGCAGCATTGAGGTTCCATTCCTATTATTTAGAGCATTTTCAACATTTGCCAGAATTATTTTATAGATTACATTTCATCAAAAGAACTTGAGGTCTGTCATATTGAGTAAGTTTACATTTAAAAACGTGAGCCTTTTCCCACACACTTGCCTTCAGCCTTGCTGTGTTGTGCGTTGCCTTCAGCCCGCAGCAGGAAGTGATCGCTGCGTTTCCTCAGCTGCTGTTCAAAGGCGATCCGAAAAGCATCTGCAACCATTAATGCCTCCTCTCTCCTCAAATGCTGAGCGTCCAGCTGGAAACACACCGAACACACACACACACAAAATAATGTACATACTTTACTGACATACTCAGAGTTACACTTAGGTAAACATAGTTACCATTAACTCTGAATCTAAAAATATATTTTCATAATTTTGGTTCATGGTTGGTTTAAAAAACATTGACAAAATTCAGGACATAACCAAAAGCCGCTGAGAGGCTGCTGGGTTTTGTCTGATGTATTAAAAAAAAGAAACGACTGAGACTGTATTGAGCAGATCTTATTTTAAGCAAAAAATAATCAACGCCACACACACACACACACACACACACACACACACACACACACACACACACACACACACACACACACACACANATAGGTAAGCAGCTTGGTGTGAAGAAATCAACTGTGGGAGCAATTATTAGAAAATGGAAGACATACAAGACCACTGATAATCTCCCTCGATCTGGGGCTCCACGGAGCCCCAGATCGAGGGAGATTATCAGTGGTCTTGTATGTCTTCCATTTTCTAATAATTGCTCCCACAGTTGATTTCTTCACACCAAGCTGCTTACCTATTGCAGATTCAGTCTTCCCAGCCTGGTGCAGGTCTACAATTTTGTTTCTGGTGTCCTTTGACAGCTCTTTGGTCTTGGCCATAGTGGAGTTTGGAGTGTGACTGTTTGAGGTTGTGGACAGGTGTCTTTTATACTGATAACGAGTTCAAACAGGTGCCATTAATACAGTTAACTAGTGGAGGACAGAGGAGGCTCTTAAGGAAGAAGTTACAGGTCTGTGAGAGCCAGAAATCTTGTTTGTTTGTAGGTGACCAAATACTTATTTTAACGAGGAATTTACCAATTAATTCATTAAAAATCCTACAATGTGATTTCCTGGTTTCTTTCCCCCCATTCTGTCTCTCATAGTTGAAGTGTACCTAGGATGAAAATTACAGGCCTCTCATCTTTTTAAGTGGGAGAACTTGCACAATTGGTGACTGACTAAATACTTTTTTGCCCCACTGTATATTGGTGATTGCAATTATACATATTAGAAAAATATTACATGCATGTATGTAGGCTACATAAATACATTTGTCACAAGTGTTTTTTTATGTATGTTATGTAAACTGATGAGGTTTTATTTGCTGGTTGATGGCAAGTTCGGTAGCGTTCTGCAACTTCAGAACCCTATGGTTTAAATATGTCATGTGCAATAAAGTGAGGCAGAAAACACCAAGACGTGCAGCAGGGTGGTGCAGACTGCACTAAGTCATATCCATGTGCATCCAGATCAGCATATCATCTCCCGGTCAAGAGCTTGCATGAACTCACCCTGTCCTCATCCAAAATTGGGCACTGGTACTCTTCGTCATAGCCATCATAAAGTTCTCCTGTGGAGACAGATTCAGGATTATCTCTGATATTTATCTGCTTAGAATTGCATTAGAAGTCTAGAAGTGACCCATCGAGAGAAGATTCAAACCAGCACAAATGCCCCTTTCACACCAACGCAGTTCCCGTTCTAGCTCCGTGCTAGAGCTTTTCTGGTTCGGAACCGGTTCTTCTTTTCAGCCCCCGTTTTGTTCACACTGCCCAGAGCCCGACTGTTGCTGCGTCATGACGTCACCGTTTACGGCGCTCACTACAACAACAATGGGGGACTAGTGCGTCGGGTCGATGATCGTGTTGCTTTTAATCATGCGAAGCCAGATTAAATTAAATAACCACTTCTCCAACCTTATACTTTCTCCAGAGTGCCGGGGTTCATTGTTTATTAATGTGTTTCAGCTGCATTTACGGTCTGCTGTAGTGCTGGCTGCTCTTCCACCGGAGTTTATTCTCCCGTTAGCTCACAGCAGCGGCCGCTCTAAAGTATTCACTGTCTGACTGTCACACAAGCAGCTGATAAATATTCCTGCTTCTAGTCACTTTGCTCAGCACTTTGCTTGTTACTACTTGTATTTGCTGTACTCGCCTTTAAGTGTTAGCTCAAGCTAAACTCGCCCCCCCCCCGACGTAAGCGTGACGTATGCGGTTCTTGCTTCTAGACCGAAAAATGTTTGGTGCTTGAAACGAACCGGTTTCCGGAGCTTAGAGGCTGCTCCGATGCGGTGTGAACAGGGAAAATCGGTGCTTTTCAGGCTCTAGCTCCGAAACGGCCCTGGAACCGTGTTGGTGTGAAAGGGGCACAAGAGAGTGGTCAATAAGGGTTTTCCTTTGTGATTAAACAGTTAGATGATTGATGCTCCATCCTGTGGGTGCTTGTCCCAATCTTGGTTTCTTTTGGAGTGTTTGGTACAAAACAGGGAGACGGATATGCCATTCCCCACCGTACTAAAGTAACAAATATATGCATATATGTATACAGTACACACAAAAACTGGTAGACAAAAATATATGAAAATATGAAAATGAATGAATATATATGACAAAAGTGCAAATATATACAAGTAGTGGAATATTTGTTAGAACAGCCGGGTAACCTTTGTACCTTCCTGTGCCAGGTCTCCTATGTTGACGTAGGACAGCCCTGTCCGCTGGGCCAGCTCCTTTCCTAAAGTGGTCTTTCCAACACCAGGGGTTCCTGTAACATTCAGGACATGGATATTTAGTGTTGCCCTACTTTCAAAAGGTAAAGCCATGTATACTACACCAGCTGGTGAGATATGATCAGGCGGTTTAGCCATACCGATGGATCTAACCCTTCTGGTACACTGGTGTAGAGTAACCAAGTACATTTGAGAGACTTAAACATTACTTGAATATTTCTATTTTTGCTACTTTATAATCTACCCCACAACAATTCAGAGGTCAATCGTGTACTTTTACCCTACTGTATTTAATAGCTTTAGTTACTTTACAGATGTGGATGAATGATGTGAAATATAACCAAGTGTTAAATCAGACTTTAGTTCCACCTGGAGTAAATTCACAAGCTACCCTGCAGTATACAAAGTCATTCAAACTAGCTGCTTCTTTACCAGCTTTGAGAACACTTTAATGATCAATCATTATAAAACACATCATATATATTATTCTGAAATGGACCAACCTGCACAATGACTACTTTTACTTTTGGTACTGTAAGTATATTTTGATGCTAATACTTTTACCTGAGTAACTTTTTTTTTTTACTGAACTACAAGCTCTGAGTACTTCTCCTACCTCTGCTCTGGTATCTAATAATTCATTTATAGTTAGAAATGTGGGTTGAGTATTAGTTTGATAATGATCACCAGGTCCTGACAAGATGAGTCGGACGTGCCAACATTAAAAACGGAATTCTTGTTCAAATTGACAAACTATATAAATACAAAATTAAAATGTAATCCTGATGATAAGTGCCAATCTGACGTGACTGCATGTAGCTAAAAGCAGAGGTGGAAGAGGTACTCAGATCTTGTACTTCAGTCAAAGTACCAGAGTGTAGGAATCAGCGACGTGCAGTCAGGGGAGGCAGAGCCTCACCTGTCATACTCCAATGTAACGCAAAAACAACTAAAGAAAAACTAAATAGTAATAATAATAATAAAATGTCTCCACTGATCTATGATGTAAGTGTGATTAATGTATGATTCCAATCGCTTTTTAAAGTCAAAATCAGCAAATTGGCCAAGCTCCGCTACAACTACGGGTAGCGATGTGAAGTGAGGCAGGGACGAGCTCTGCCTCTCGTAAGCCCACAGTAACTTGCTGGAGCGCGGGCACTAATTTAGCGCGGGCACTTATTTTGTGAGC